AACAACATCAACGACATCGACAACCTCAATAACTTCAACGACATCAACCACTACGACAACATCAACCTCGACCACTTCGACGACATCGACAACGTCCATGACTTCAACAACTTCGACGACATCGACAACCTCGACAACTTCGACGACATCGACAACGTCCACGACTTCAACAACTTCGACGACATCGACAACCTCAACAACTTCAACGACATCAACCACTACGACAACATCAACCTTGACCACTTCGACGACATCGGCAACGTCCACGACTTCAACAACTTCGACGACTTCTACAACTTCGACATCATCGACGTCCTCAACCACAACGACATCAACATCTACAACGTCGACAACTTCAACCACCACTATGTCCCCATTATGTTAGTTTGCTTTATTACTTTTTTCGCAAAACACTTCGATTGAAATTCTTTTAGGTTCAACTTGGGCATGGAACAATACTGGTATAACAATCGCTGGTACCGGATTAAGTGGGTCCGCATTAAATGAATTGAACGAACCATGGAATATATTTATCGATCCAGCAACGGATATTCTTTACATTGCTGATTCGCTAAATCATCGAATCATTAAATGGTTACCAAATGCAACATCCGGAATACTCATAGCGGGTACAGGTAGCTCTGGTTCACTATCTAACCAGCTGAACACTCCAAAAGACGTATATGTTGATTCATTTAAAAATATTTATGTTGCTGATACCCTTAATCAACGTATACAATTTTTTTCAAATGGCAGTGCAGTAGGCTCAACAGTTTCAACAGGTTGGAGTGCTGGCAACTTATACGGAGTTTATATTTACAATAAATCAATTTATGCATGCGATTTTACTAGACATGCTGTATGGGTAAATGGTACAGCAGCAGCTGGTAATCAAGGATCTGGTTCTAATTCAAATCAATTGTACGAACCGCAAGGCTTTACTATTGATACTATAAATAACAAAAGTGTAATGTATGTAGCAAATTCACATCAGCATACTATTGTTCAATGGTGGCCAGGTGCGCCGAACGGAACGATTGTCGCTGGTATAAATGGTGTACAAAGCTCTTCAAATACTACACTTAATTTTCCTGTAGCCGTCAAAACGGATATTTATACCAATCTATTCATCGTTGACAATAATAATCATCGAATTCAATTGTATTGCCGATATCCATCAGTTATTTCAAGTGGACGCACTGTTGCTGGTATAACAAGTATATCAGGAAATTCGCCGACATTGTTAAAATATCCAGCTGGACTTGCTTTAGATTCATCAATGAATTTATATGTTTCGGACACGAGTAATCATAGAATACAAAAATTTATGCGCCTTTCTTAAAGTTTAACATTGGTTTCTTTCGAATAAATAATTTTGATTTTGATTTTTTTAATCAATAATAACAAGAATTTCTTTAATTAACTTCACCGATCCCCAATATATAGACAATCATAATTGTTTTTATATGTTTTTAATATGCTTGTTCTAGACATTTTCCTGCAAATGTCATTAAGGGTATCCTTTTCTTTTGTGACCACTGCTGTTTTTTTGTCGAACAGGGTACAACTGATCAGACTGAAATTTTTAACACACATAAGGCATCTAAGATAAGAAGGGGTCTACGAATCTTGCGCATGTGAAGATACCCATGAGTCACTTCCGCACGGATTGTTTGCGCACGAGATAAAAAATTCCTATTTTGTTGTTCGATAGTGGATCAAAACGCAAAGATGTAACAGAAACAACAAAATACATATGTATTATCGTCATTTTACTAGTTCTGTTCATGTGATTCGAAATGCTTGATTGATGGCAATCAATAACCAGTTTACTGTTTGGCAGAGCATGTGATATATCAGCGATTCACTGATATTTTCTTCTGCTCATCGCACAAGACCGAGTATATATTGGATCTTCATCAACGGTAATTAATGACCATTTCAGAGATAAGTGACCGTGGGCATTTTTCGAATAACTTCATAATAACAAAAGATAAAGAGCTGATATTTTAGCACTAGCTAGAGTCGAGGTTACTCTATCTTTTCATAAGATCGATG